TATCAAAAGCTTTAAATCATGTCCAACCCAGATAATATAAAACTCATATTGAATTAATACGATCAAACTAGGTAGCGACGGCTGCCGCCTGTGCAAGGATACAGTGACGATGTATGAGTCTGGCATCCTTCCCTTAATAGATTTATTTGATTTTACAAGCTATAGCACATGAGTGTGATATGGGTCATATCCTGCACCTCCCTTTGTTCCATATGAAATCCATTCTAAAAAGCACAAGTTGGTGAAGGTAGGGGCAGCGACCGACGATAGAGAGGGCAGGTGTGGTCTGGATCCCCACGCAACGGCGACTGACAAGGATGAGGGTAGGCGACTCCTGCAACCCCGTAGCGACGATGTCGAGACGCAAGTCCCCGACGACGACGTCCTCCCCAACTCATCAAGTACCACAACAAACCCCTTGTGCCCTTTTTATAGCTGCTCAATTTCAGAAGGGGGTTTTGTCTCTCCAATAGAGGTTGTGTTTCACAAGGAAAAAAATGGTTTTCAGAAGGGAAAAAACAATTGTCTCTGCAACAACAGAGGTCGTGTTTCAGAAAGAAAAATTTTGTTTCGGACTGATTGCAACAAAGGCTCTTATTAGAGCGTCTCTAGCAGACCTCGTAAAACCATGACCCGCATAAGGCGTTTATAGTTCGACCAAGAACTGTTTTGCGGGTCAAAATCGTGCGAGGCAGAGTAGAACCCATATATGAAACTACATAAATTGAAAAAGTGCTTCGCGAGAGAAATTGCAACCACACTAATTCATCACATCTTCCGCGTTTATAGTTCGACCAAGAACTGTTTTGAGGGTCGAAATCGTGTGAGGCAGAGTAGAACCCATATATGAAACTACATAAATTGAAAAAGTGCTTCGCGAGAGAAATTGCAACCACACTAATTCATCACATACTACATAATCATTCATAGTTCATCATCACATACTACATGATCATTCATAGTTCATCATCACATACTACGTTATCATACATACTACATACTACTACTACTACTAGAGGGGGTGGGGGATCTCGCGGCGGCGAGGCCGAGGTCGATATACCAAAATGGACGAGCTCGCGGTCGAGGACGACACGGTGGAGGAGCTTAGTCCTCGTCGGAGCTCGTGGTGTGGGAAGATCTCGCGGCGGAGGACGAGCCCGCGCCCGAGGAGGGCGTACGCCCGTGCCGACGGTCGTACGTATTCCTCTGTCTCGCGAAGGAGGAGGCTCGACGGCGGCTCGTGGCCCTTGTTCGCCCACTTCCTCGTCGCGCGCTTCCTCACGCCGTCCGAGCGGACACGCCGCTCACGCTCGGGGTCGTCGCCCCCGCCGGAGTTGCCACTGGAGCTGCGGCCGAAGCTCCACATGTGGCCCCACATGGCGGGTGGAGGCGGAAGGGGGCTCACTGGCGGCGAGAAATGTGAGGGGAAAGTGGGGAATTGTGGCGAGACGCAGCGGTGGGGATAGGGTTTCGACCCATATCTACTCCGCGAACCCGTAGATATACTGCTTCGGGGGAGGGGGGAGGGGTTGTAGGCCGCGGTAAAAATATTTACGGATCGGGCGAGTATAGGGGCTCTGTTCTGGCCAGAAAATTGGGCCGAACCTGTATACTCGTCGGAATTTTGCGGGTTTGCGACTTAGAGCATGGTTAATAAGAGAGCCGGCTGTTGGCTATATGCCAAAGCCATGTCACATACAACCTTCATTACAGCCCACTTGTACAATAGACTGGCTATTAGAATGACTATAATAATCAATGTTTGCATACGGATGAAGACAAGGAAGCTCACCTGATTGGGAGAGAAGAAGGAACGCCCAGCCTTTTACCTTGCACACGGCTGCATGTGGGTTACTTTTTCTTGTTTCTAGAGTTAGCGCCCGCTTCCTTCTCTTTCCTCTCTTCTCTCTCTCTTTCAGCTAGGATTTTTTTACGGGGAAATTCAGAGAGCTTTATTGAGTAAAAACATTCTTAGAACAATCAGCCACGAGGCTGGACACCAAGAAGTTAGGAGTCTCGTCAAGCCAACTCTCGGTCACATTAAGTGTGCATGCACGTTTTGCACACAAGTGAGCCGGTAAATTGGCTGACATGTTTACATGTTGAATAACAAAAGAGGAAAAATGAGTACTAAGCTCTCCAATTGTTGAAATATGAGATGGGCCTAGAGCCCATATGACAATTTCAGATTTGATCTCTAAGAGCCCATGTAGGCGGCATGACAAGGTGGTGGGAAGTTTAGTCCCACCCCGGAAGTGGAAGGAGAGTTGGAGTGGTTTATAAGGGATTCTCTTCCTCATGCTATTGGAGCTCGAGAAGAGATGAGGCCCTCGCGCACTCCTCCTCCTCCGCTTGCCTCGCCACGCCACGCCTCGGCCCGACGCGACGCGACGCGGGATTGAGTCGAGCCGAGCTCACTCCTATGCGCTTCTTTTTGCCGATCAGGAACGGAGAGTCTTTGACAGGTGGGGCCACGATCTGAGACGTCGGATCGTGGGCTACCGACTTGGACATGGGTTCAGCCCACGTCTCTCCACGCGCAGCCGCACATATATATGTGGGGAGCTGCCAACCCTAGCCACCACGAAACAGAACGCATCTCCGCCTCCACGCCCGCGTCGTTCCTCTGCTACTGCTGCCGCCGGCGACTCCGTCCCGTTCACCGCGTACACGGTTGACGGGAGAGCATGCCTCCGAAACCCCGCCTCTCCGGATCCTGTATGGGAGAGGGGCGATTAGATTTTTGGGTAGCGACTACGCGACTGCTCGCTTCTGTTCATCTACGTCCACATCACCTTCGTCATCACCATGTCGATCAACGCCGACCGTGCCGCCGCCGAGAAGGCCGAGGCCGACAAGAAGGTCGCCGAGGATGCCGCGGCTATCGCCACCGCCGCCGCATGGCCGATTGGAGGGTATACATCCTTTTATCCCTCTCATGTTTCTTTTTGTTGTAGTAGTACTAGCGATATGCGTAGATGTTTCTACTATATGCGTAGTACGTGCTCTGTTAGATCGTAACCAGTGTGTTATCAATACTGTCAATGTCATGCTCATGATTTATTCATGGATTAATTTAATCGAAAAACTGCCTATTTTCTTATCACCAATCTCTAAAAGTAAAGGGGCCACAATTGAACGAGAATTGTAACGAGTGGTCCAGAGTGTCACCAACTCCAAGCAATCGACTTCCATTATCACATGCGAGAATCCACGAAGAGAAGCGAACCAAACACCATCTCGCAAAGAAAGTCCCTCCATGATCAAGGGATCCCAAATCCCCACATATGGCTTGCACCAGGCACCCAGAAGAGTCGTAGGAGATCGAGCAATGCCTTTGATGATGTGGAATGGCTTATAGCCTGCTGATTAGGGACGCGGATTTTTGGGACATGATGGCAAGCGAGGACGTTATCTGGGCAGCCCATTCATGCTATGAGATTAGAAATTAATATAGTGATTGAATGAATACTTGAACGATACGCCAGGTTAATTCGACAAATATGACGTACAGAGGTTGGTGGCTAACCATCTTAAATGGAGTTGGATACACGTTCATAGACATGCAAAATACAGTTCTAGCTGTTCTGTTGTGTTAATGTCAGGCCATTTAATAATGCTGGTCGGCTGCGTTTAAACGTTTCTGTGTCGAACAGGTAGGCCTTTAATGGCACTTAGCAAGTGTGGGCTTGCCGTTTCTGTGCTGTTTTGTTTTGCCAAGTTCATTTTGCATGTCTATAATTGAGGTGTACTGCTCTATCAGTTCATCAGGTATTACCTCATGGATGATGGGATATCTCCCCAAAGATTAATGTAAACTACATGCATTGTTGTAATAACAAAAATGACGGAAACATTACGCAAAGCAACTCTTTGTCTCTGAAATTAGACATGATGGATTAATTAATGCGAGCAACAGTAATACCCCTAGTACAACCTTCTTCAACCTGCCTGCTGGGAGAAGACAAAACAAGATGACCATAGCATCAAACTATAGCGACAGCAGAAGGTTAACTATCCATTAATTTTGCTACTGTAGCAAAACCTTTCCGACGCTCAAAATATGTGCTCGGGGAGTTTTTGTTATTGCTTTCATAGGCATGTTGGTATCCTAGTACAGGAGCTTGCAATGCCCCCCGCAAAAGACGAGCTTGCAATGTCCACCAGCTGATTCTGAACAGGTAGCACACCTAGAGTCGATGAGAGGACCTACTGTGATAATGATGGATTAGATCATTGGAAGGATTAGTTTGTCAGCTCCTCCAACTCACCTTCTAATGATGGCCATCAAATGAGCGAAAGGGGAGCTTCCTGGTCTAAATGAATACATGTTGGAGGAGCTAATGAACTGGACTAGAACATGGAGGAGCACATTATAGAAAGCATTGCAGGGAAGACCAGTAGTTAAACAAAGTCGAGGAAAAGGATGAATGCATAGTAGAGAAACTGATACATGTAAAGGTTTCAGTTGTAAATCAATAGTCCAAAACATGTGATGACACTAAAATACCTCACTTTCCAACTTCAACAACGCTGGATGGAGAGAGATGGTGGTGCAGGCTTCAAATGCAGTTAACGTTCCCCACCTCTGCCTAGTAAATGAGTTGGGTCACCTTTGTCAAGCATGTGGCCCCTTATGCATTGATTGTTTTGTGGAATACAGATCCAATACTGCAAGGAGGAACATTCAATATACGTTATATGCACTGCTTATGATATGAATACGATACAAATCTGAGAGAAATGGATGGTGAGATAAAGACCTCGCGTGGCGCCATATTCACCTATGCATTTTCGGCTGATTAGGACCTATTGTACTTGCTCTTATACGGGTCTGTTATACGGGTCTGTTATACGGGTCTGTTAGAGTTGCTCTTACTGCCCACGCAGGCACACACCTCCCTCTCCCTGTGGTGGTTCAAATTTTAATTTTCCTTCGGTGCTCCGCTCCTCCTCGCCGGCCATCGCCGCCTCCTCGCCGGGGAAGGGAAGAGGAGCCGATGAAGCTCGGGATCAACAGCGCGTGCGACCTCCCCCCGCCCCGGTAAGACCAGCCCCCCTCCATCCCCTCCCCTTATCCCCGTCCGCTGCTGCTGAAGCGTGCGGTGGTTCGATTTCGGACCAGGAGCGGCAGCGGGAGGGACGGCGCGCCCCCTGATTCCTCCGCGTCGGCGTCGGCGCCGTCGCAGCAGCAGGCCTTCTCGCTCCCGTGCCCGAAGCTGCCGCGGCTCTCGGAGGCGGAGGCCTTCGTCGGCCAGACCCTCCACCGGCCCACGCCCGCGCGCCACCAGGTCTCCCGCGCAGCCGCATCGCTCCCCCTTCCCCCCCGCTGTTGCCACTGAATTCGTCCGTGGATCCGGTGTGTTTTTTGTTTGTTTGTTCAGTTCAGTTCAGTTCGTCAGCGCCGCCGAATTGGTTCAGCGGATAAACTCCAGCAGCGTTTCCGATGAAAAAATTGGCTGGGGCTGGGTCTGGGTGATGATGATTCATGCGTCGTGGAATCAACAGTTCGAATCCCCAGGACGATTGATTGATTGATTGAAATGAATCTATAGTACTATATATGCTGCAGAATAGTACCAAACTGAAACTGGTGCAGGATCCAAGAGATTATCTGCTTGTCCAACCTTCGTTTTGCGAACAAATGACCAGTCTATGGCTGTGGCGGCATTGCGCCATTGGTATCTTTTCTGTTTGTTGCACGTGTACTGAAACATGAGGGCATGCAGCTTCTGCCGGACTGGCACCATCCTATATTATAGAAGTGGTCCATTGTATGCAGCTTCTGTTCGTCGTGAATAACTTCCGCGTTATCTATAAAAGCATGATGGATGACTTCATGTTGTGGTATTTTTGTTTGTTACACATGTATGTGCTGAAACATGAGGTCTGGATCCCAGGTGGTTTATCTGTATTTGACTATTTGTGCTTTGCTTCTGCTGGACTGACCTCCTTATTATAGATGATGCAGCTTCTGGTCATTGTCTTGCTGCTAAATGTTTCACTAACAGCACCTGTCTTCCTACTCGCAGCTTACTAATTACGAAATATGTGTAGCTCTTGTGCCTTCCCCAATTTTGACCTCCATTTTTCATCTCGTTGGTGGCCAGGGATTTGGCTTGCATGACGACTCGTCGAAGAGGACGCCTCCATTTTCTCCCACTTCAGCGTCTCATGCACAAGAAGAACCCCAGCAGCAGCAACCGGTGATCATACCCAGCAGCACTACCCTGCGCTGGAATCCCTCTCCTACAGACACTAGATGTAAGCTCTGAATCCCCAAGTAATGCATCCGATTGATTTAACGTCTCTCACCAACTTCAGGAACATTTTTTTTGGTCACCTCTGTTTTATCTCATTGTCTGGGCATGCAAACTGGACTGGCTTGTGCTTTTATGGTAGAAAGAGCACCGGATGCCGTTCTGTGTCTAGACCTCACCATCACTAAGCTGTGGGTATGTTTTGTTTGGTGTGCCTGATGATGGTAGCATTTCAACAGGTCGGGTTAATGAGGACGCTGAGTGCAGGTTTCAGCAGCTGTCAGGTTCAGTACACAAGGTGGGGATGGTATTGGACTCGGTACAAACTGATGTTATTCAGTGTAACCGAACCATGAAGGAGGCGTCGCTTGAATGTAAGCCTTGCAAACCAGTACTGTTGATCATAATAGGAATTGCAGCAGCTTCTGCTTTGCTCATAAACTTTGCACTTTGATTTTTCTTCTTCTTCGACAACTGATGCATCATATAAGTGAATCGCATTTATCTGTTATGTGCAGCTGGTGCTGTGCAGCAAAAGTTCGATCTCCTAGAGGATACACTTCAGAAAATTGTAAGAGAAGTTGATGTCTCAGTTCTTTCTCCTACCATTTCATTGTTTGCAAAGACAACAAAGTTTGATATATTCAAACATGTTATCGCAGATTAAAGGACAAAATGATCTGAAAGTACTTGCTGAAAACAACACGAAAAGCAACTCTGATCAGCTGAATGTAATCAACTCTCGCACCAGCAAATTGAATGAGATGTCTTTGGTCGTTTCAGTCTGCCCAAAACAAGTGCAAGCAGATTTAAAAGAGCTGCATGGTGACATCTTCAGGGTTCTTACAAAGGACATGGAGGTACTTCTTCTGCTGCTAATCTACCGCTAGCTTTGGTACATCTTTTTTCGATACATTTTGTCTTTAGGAATTATCCTGATGGTTGGCATGTGCACATAAGTAATTAATGTACCAGTATCCCAAGTTCTCTGTTGTCTCCATATGTGTGGGTTCAGTTCCATATAAACATACAAGTTTTCCTAAATCTCTTCGTGTATCCAGATTCTTGAAATAACATCATTTTCTTGTATAATGATCATGTCACATAACTTTCAGCATTCTCAGTAAGTGATAGCATTTACTTTCTCTTTGAGATGGCTCAAAAAGCTCACAGTCCTGTCTATTAAGTGGCATGTCACTCTTTTCGTACTGAAGAAACCTATGTGGATAGTTTTGCACTACAACTGCCTGATCTTTGTGTCTCTTCATTCATGCAGGGGGTTGTTAGAGATATCAGGTCTCTGAGTACTAAGCCTGCTGTAATGCCAATGCTGCCAGTATGTTTACTCATTACTTGATGAGCTGAATCCATAAGTCTTTTCTTATCCTTGTCTCACTGTCTTTTCTGTCTTGGTTGAAGGACCATGTGGTAGCAAAAGGAAGTCCCCTGATGAACAAGATGTCTGTAGCAAACGGAAGGCCTACAATGAACCAGACACCAGTAGCAAAAGGAAGTCCCCTGATGAACAAGATGTCTGTAGCAAACGAAAGGCCTACAATGAACCAGACACCAGTAGCAAATGGACGACCCCTGATGAACCAAACACCAGTGGCAAATGGAAGCCCCATGATCATCAACCAGGCTCGAGTAGGAAATGGAAGGTCCCAGCTGAAACAAACACCAGTTACAGATGCAATGCCCCAGAGGGATCTAACACCAGAGATAAATGGAAGGCCCCAGAAGGACCGAATACCATTAGCAGATGGAAGTCCCCATATGGAACAAATAACACCAACAAAACCGTAATATTCTAGTCTCAGTTTCTCACATAATTCAGTTATTAGCTAAATATACAGAGATTTTGTACAAAGATTCCTAGAAGTATCCTGCTCTGATAGGGATACAAAGCTATGTGGTGTGGCCACAGAGAAAAGCCCTTTTTTAATGATAGTTTTCTCGCTGTTATTTCAGTTCTATCAGCAAGGTTTTCTTTACCTGAATCACATGATGCCAGATTTAACCTAGGTGTTTTTGCACATAGAAGGGGCATCAGAGCACAACATGTATGCCCTATAATTTAGAGAATTGAAGTCACAGTTTTCATGAAAGGGTGTTAAAAAAAGGTTTCTTGATGTGCTAACTAAGACTAAATTTTGAAATCCTCAAACAAAAGTGCGAAGACTTTTTAACTATTCAAAAGGTTCAAATAACCATTCATATTTGCATAATCCTGAGGTAAGATTCTTATTTTCATGATAGAGCAGAGCTGGTTTAATGCTGGCAATTCAAATCATGAAATGACACATATTGTATTGCTTCAAAACATTCTTTCTCTCTTCACTCTTCAGGAAGATTATATTCACGACTTCTCAGTTGTACTACAAATATGACTCTGCATATACATTATGTCTTCACTGTTTTCTTAGATTTTTGGATTCTGACAAAGCTTGCTTATTAATGTCAGCCTTCCTGCACGTTCCACTTATGCTACAAGGGCGTCAGTTCTGAAGCCAAAGGTAGAACAGGGTATGGTTAAAGCAGCTCACATGGTTGGTACAAGCTACAGGCTAGCACCTTCACAGAACGAGAAGTTGAATCAAAAGGTCAATCCCCAAGAGCCAACTAAGAAGGTAATCTGTGATACCTTGCCCCTTTCCATCATAATGAAATCGGTATAGGATTCCTCGAGCAAACTAATGTTGTTGGCTAGTTTGTATACGATATTCATGCTTTCAACAGTTAAAGGAAACACCTGTTGCAATACTGCTTACAGTTCAGGGCCAATGTCCTTCTGGAAAAAGCATACCACTGAGTTCTGGTTCTGAAAAAAAGCACACCACTGAAAAAAGCATACCATTGAGTTACGGTTCTGAAAAAGCATACCTATGAATTATTGAATTTACTGGAACATGATTGAAGCTGCAGCTGTAACTTTTCGTATGTGCATCTGCAGTAGACTGGAAACTTGCACTTGCATTATATTCAGTGTGTGATCGTGGCTCTGTACTTGTGTTTGAAAGTGCAGGAACCAGTTAAAATAATCATCAATTCGGATAATGGCAGTAAAGCGTGCACTTCCCGGATGATTCTGAACATGGAACCAGGTAGAGCTCATTCCTTTTTGTGCATGCTTTTCTTATATCGTTTCTAGTTTCCTGCCTCAAAAAGGAGAGGGAGACCCTGATGAACGGAACATCTGTAGCAAACGGAAGACCTACAATGAACCAGACACCAGTAGCAAATGGATTACCCCTGATGAACGAAACAACAGTGGAAAATGGAAGCCCCAATATCGTCAACCAGGCTCCAGTAGGAAATGGAAGGTCCCAGCTGAAACAGACACCGGCAACAGATGGAACGACCCAGAGGGATCTAACACCAGAGATAAGTGGAACTCCCCAGAAGGACCAAATAACAGTAGCAAATGGAAGGCCCCATATGGAACAAATACCGGCAGCAAAACCGTAATATTCTAGTCTCTATTTCTTACATAGTTCAGTTGATAGCTAAATATACAGAGATGTTATACAAAGATTCCTAGAAGTATCCTGCTCTGATAGGGATACAAAGCTATGCGGTGTGGCCATGGATTTCGAGTCGTGTGACTAGTTGCGATTAGTAGATGAATCGCAAAAAAAATGTCGACTCAACTTAGTGTCGACTCATGACTCGAGTCGCGACTAGTCACAACTGCAGGCTCGACTTTTTCCGAGCCGCTACCCCAGAATGACTCATCGACTTGAAAACCATGGGTGTGGCCACAGATAAAACTCCTTTTCTCATGAGAGTTTTCTCACTGTTATTTCAGTTCTACTCACAAGATTTTCTTTACCTGAATCTCACGATGCCAGATTTAACCTAGGTGTTTTTGCACATAGAAGGGGATTCAGAGGAGAGCATGCATGCCCTGTAATTTAGAGAACTGAAGTCACAGTTTCATGAAAGGGTGTTAAAAAAGGTTTCTTAATGTGCTAACTAAAACTAAATTTTGAAATCCTCGAACACAAGTGCGAAGACTGTTAAACTTTCCCAAAAGGTTCAAATAACCATTCACATCTGCATAATCCTGTGGTAGGATGCTTATTTTCATGACAGAGCTGGTTTAAGGCTGGCAATTCAAATCTTAAAATGGTACATATTGTATTGCTCCAAAACACTCGGTCTCTCTTTCTTCAGGAAGGTTATATTCATGACTTTTCAGTTGTAGTACAAATATGATTCTGCATATACATTATGTCTTCACTGTTTTGCTCATTATGTCCTTGTTAGATTTTTTTGATTCTGACAAAGCTTGCTTATTAATGCCAGCCTTCCTGCATGTTCCACTTATGCTACAAGGCCATCAGTTCTGAAGCCAAATGTAGAACAGGGCAAGGTAAAAGCAAATCATATGGTTGGTACAAGCTACAGGGTAGCACCTACACAGAAAGAGGTGTTGAATCAAAAGGTTAATTCTCAAGAGCCAACTAAGAAGGTACTCCCTCCGGTCCTTTTTAGTTCGCATATAAGATTTGACTGAAGTCAAGCCTCGTAAAATTTGACCAACTTTGTAGAAAAAAATGCCAACATCCATAATCTGAAATCAATACCACTGGATGTGTCATATGACTTAAAGTTTCATATTATATAACTTTAGCATGGCAGATGTTGATATTTTTTCATATAAATACGGTCAAACTTTGTGAGGTTTGACTTCAGAGAATTCTAATATGCAGAGTAAAAAGGACCGGAGGGAGTAACTGTGATACCTTGCCCCTTTGTACCGTAATGAAATTGGTATGGGATACCTCGAGCAAACTAATGTTGTTGGCTAGCTTGGCTGCGAATGCTTTCAACAGTTAAAGGAAACACCTGTTGCAATACTGCTTACAGTTCATGGTCAATATCCTTCTGACAAAAACATGCCACTGAGTTATAGTAGTTCTGAAAAATGCACACCGCTGAAAAAGCAACCCACTGAATTACGGTTCTGAAAAAAGCATACCTATGAATTTACTGGAACATGCTTGCAGCTGCAACTGTAATTTTTCATATGTGATTCTGTAGTAGACTGAAAAGTTGCGCTTGCATTATATTCAGTGTGTGATCGTGAGTTCGTACTTGTGTTTGAAAATGCAGGAACCAGTTAACATAATCATAGGTTCAGATAATGACAGTAAAGGGTGCACTTCCCGGGTGATTCTGAAAATGGAACCAGGTAGAGTTCATTCCTTTTTGTGCATGCTTTTCTTATGTCGATTCTGGTTTCCTGCCTCGAACAGGGGAGGGAGACCCTAACTGGTAATCATTTATAACAGAGAGATAATCATCGGCGATTACCATTTACCACTTACTAGTTTCTATTGCAGCATGCATTGTTATTACCAAAGAAACAAGAAATCCTCATTTGCAGCACAAAATAGATTTAAATGAAAAGAAGCAAATCACATCCTCTGTTATGTATATATGCTGCAGCTGACCTGATGAAGGAAGTCGGCAGCGAGTCGGGCCCACCACTTGTGTGGGGGGTGAGGAAGAGGAGGACAAGCAGCGAGACACTGTCCATTGATGCCGCCACCTTGCTGCCAGGAGAAGGGGAGAAGAGGAGGCGGGGACCTGCACCAGAAGCACAGAAGGACGAGGCTGTTCACACGGTTGAAGCTGCTCCAGCAAAGCGGGCTCATCGGTTCAATCCCAAGTACGACGCGACCCTGTGGATCACCTGCTGAGGCGGTCCGAAAAGCCACGTCGGCGCCGGGCACACTGGCAGAACAATGGTTGTTCGACTTTGGCAACATCAATGCACATAGTATCGTTTCACCTATGACCCCCACAACTCAAACACATTACACATGTACATCATAGATGTCCAGAGAGGTAAAGTCCTTTTTTTCAACCATTTCAACTGTTGTTTACACGAGGTCCACATGAGGAACAGAATGAAGAATTGCAAATGAGATACAACTAGCACTTGCAATATAGTACCACGATGAGCTTCCCTTTGTTTTTTGGCCTCCTCGCGAGCTCAATCGCCGCCACTGTGTTCGCTCCTGATGATATCCCCACCAGCAAGGTTCAGCAACGGTCCAATGAAATCGATCCAGTTTCACATGGGCCAGGTTCAGCATCAGGAGTCTGTTCTTCATCTTGATTCTCCCCAAACATACATTTTCTTTTGGTAAGGGAGCGGTAAATTTATTTTTGCAACTTACCAGTAGACCCTCTTGCAGTGCCAACTTTATGGATAAATATTTGGACATATATATGTAGATAGATAGATATAGATATTTGTGCTTTTGATTATGACCACTGATAATCAGACCGTCAGGACATTCGATTGGTCCTATTGCTGCTGCAGCTGCAGGGTGGAGAAGGACGAGACGCAGGTGCCGGCACCAGCAGATCGTATTTAAACAATTCAAAAGATTCTGCCCCTAGAATACATTACACGGTTTCCTGAAAGAAGGTACACCACCTTACCATTTTTTTTTCAAAGTATCAAATCTCACAGACATAAATGAAAATACATTACATGTACACATGACCATATGATTCGGTGCAACATTATTTCCCTAGCACAACCAACTAATAACCCACGATGGATAACTTCTCATACGGCCACAACCCAACCAAACAAAATGCTAACCCACGCCTTATTGGATCAACGGTCCATGCAGAAACTGAAACTCGCATTTCTCAAATTCCCAATTCTACGCAACATTCTTAATGGCGGTCAGTAGTACATCCTTGAACATACTCTCAAGGTTGGCCAACGACCTGCCACCAGGTTTTGTCGTCGCACGAACGGCTATCTTGCTCCATTCCGCCGCCTTATGCCTCATTTCTTTTCCCACCCCTTCTCCTCCCATCACCTCCCGTAACCTTGCCTCGACCACCTCCCGGCGCACATCATCGCCAATTTCCATCCCAACGCCCCACTCCACACACGCGTAACGGGAATTGGTTTGCTGCTCGGCGAAGAAGGGCCAACACAACATTGGCACCCCCGCACTAAGGCCTTCCATCATCGAGTTCCACCCGCAGTGCGTCAAGAAGGCACCCACTGCCTCGTGCCGCAACACCGCCTCCTGCTCGCACCAGCTCGCAAGAAGGCACCTACCCTTGGTCGCCTCCTGGAACTCAGAAGGCAGCACGGCAGCATCGCCCTTTACCAGGTCATTCCTCACGATCCAGAGGAAGTCGTAGCCGCAATTGGCAAGCCCCCATGCAAACTCCACCAGCTCCTGCCCAGACATGGTGGTTATGCTTCCGTAGTTGACATACACCGCGGATCGGGGCTCCCTACCCTGAAGCCATTCGAGGCAGGACCGGTCTTCTCTCCAGAGGTTGGGGCGTATGGCGGCGAGCGCGCTGCCAGCATCGCCTTCCGAGACCAGCTGCTCAGTGAGGAAGTTAAGCGGGCCGATGGTGTAGACGGGCATAGGGAGGATGGAACACATGGCGTCGAGGGCCACCTTCTCGAGCTCGTCAATGGTGTTGAGGATGACGGCGGTCACGCGGTCCAACTGCTCGACCTCGTGCAACAGGAAGTTGAACAGCACGTCGCCACGGTCCGTCGTGCGGATGAAGGAAGGGAAGTCACGGAGGCGCATGTGTTTGCTCATCCCGCGTGCCTTGGTCACCTGCGTGTCCAAGTACCCGTTCTTCACTTGCTCTTCGTCTGCTCAAATCAATGAGAACGCCTAGCATCACCCACATGGAATGCAGCATATCTTCGGGACATGGTTGCTACTTGCTACAAACTTGGGGGCATGGCACCATACAAACCTTTGAGAGGGGTGAGGCCCTCGTCTAGGAGGAACCGGAAGTTGCGGTAGCCCATGAAACCGCACACACTGGCAGTCCAGAACACCAGACACGGCACGCCGAGTTCCACCGCGGCATCCATGCTAAAGCTCATGACGCCGTCCGCCACAACGCAGCTCACCAGCGGCGCCCCAGGCAGACTGTTGAGGTCGTGGAGCAGGTTCCTTAGATGGGGGAGGCAGTGGGTCATGATGGAATAGCAGAGGGATGGCATGTCCTGCGTGGTGTCGGCGTCCGACGGGGGCAGGCCGTCCGGTATGGTGGCGAAGCGGAAGTCCGGGAGGCCCGCCACGGCGTCAGGACCACGGGAACGGACGAGGCGGCGGTGGTTATACTCGGTGTTGACGAAGGTGACATGGAAGCCCTTGCGGTGGAAGATCTTTGCCAGCTTCATCATCGGCGTGATGTGCCCCTGAGCCGGGAACGGCACAAACACGGCGTGGGGCTTCTTGTTCGTGGTAGTAGCATCCATGTCGTTGTCGCCTGGAAATGCAGCTCAAGATTTGAAACTGTGTTTTTAGAGGGAAATGTGATCTTCTCTGCTTGTACGGGCAATCACAGAGTGCGTATATATAGCGACTGAGAGTGGCAATTGCTGCGTATAGAGTACAATATTAGTCTAAAGAAAGGTTGGACAGTTTAGACAATTAGGGCACGAATGCACGATGGATGGATGAGAATGTGTATGTGATTAAGTGCTCATGTCGTTTGCCTTTACTGAAGTAGTAATGAATATTATCGATAAAATGCTCCATCTAGAAGTTTTGTGCAACAGAACCAGATTCTTGAGCCATGCTCACCGAACGAAAGGTGACTGCTGAGTGTATTTAAATTGTTTTCAAGGTACCAACCTTAGATGTGTGTGCCCCAAACTCGGCATTATGGCTTGGTTGGCGCCTTCGGCTTTGGATGTTAGGCTTTGGTCCGAAGTCTGTTTGGTATTTGGCTCGGATTTTCGGCATCCCTTCATCAAGTGAATAGGAATAGCGACAGATCTTGCCGGGATGGTGGCTTCAGACTTATTGATGTATTGATTTATAAGGTGTTTGTGAATAATTAATAAAGTGATTGTATGCATCGTCCAGATGCAGAGGCCAGGGGTCATCCTCTTTTTAGAAAAATAACCTCAGATGTGAAGAATAATCTATAATTAACTGTGTCCGACGCTATTATATAATTTACTGGATGTGTTTTTGTTGATAATTGCTATTTGTTTTTGTGAAGAAAAAAAAATCTAACTCTCACCCCAACAAGTATTTTTGTTCATTATTTTGTTCTTACTCATTGCTGTTACCAACATGGTGAGTGTCCTCTGTCTTCCATTCTTTTGTCCACCATGCTAAAATGCTGATATACAACCTAAGAAATGGCCCACACAAATAATATGATCTAACGCCATCATTAAGGGCATCCACAACATTACAATAAAACATTCTGTAAGCGAAGAAAGATACATGTTATTGGTCTAGAAACTTTAGCATATGTTCTCTACAAAAATAGAAGGGAAACATACAAGATCATGTGAAAAGAGAGGGTAAGAGGAACCATGTTAAAATTGCTCTTGAACGTAGGACATATTTTCTATGGAATTTTATCCTTTAGTTCATCACTATAGTAATCATATTGATTGGTAACTTTATGTATACTGCATCTTCTATTATGTCTGCTAATCCACCCTAGAATTCGCCACGTTAAAGTGGTGCACGAGGGTGATTTTTGTTCCAGTTCTACCCCTGCCCGTTGTCCCGGAGAATGGTAGTTTTTACAGGAAACACCACCGGCTTGTCCACAATACAACGAAGGATTGAGCCAACTCTGAAATCCTTTTATCAATTATACTTGCAATCATCCAAACCATCAAACACACCACTAAGCACTTTATTTATTCATGTTATTCATAGCTATCTTTCATGCATCCACGTATCATATTTATTCCGAAGTATCATATCTTACAAAAATAATTAAGAATAAAACCAGATAGAGGTACCAACCTACAATGGCAAGCTGATGACATGGCCACAACCCAAACAAACAGGACAGATATAGCCTTATTGGACAACCAGTCCATGCAGAAACTAATCCGCATTTGACATTCTTGATAAAAGACACAGCAAAATGGCAGGAATCGTCTCTCATTGATGATTGTGGTTACAATATATAGTCCATGAAGGGACGCTTCGTTCCTGAAGTGATGCTTCGTTCCCAAAGGGACGTCTACAACATCGGTCGTATCCCTTCGGATGGCAATTAGAGATAGGAGAGATTACCCTTAATTAACATGTGGGATATTTAAATCTCAACAATTCTGTCGGTTGGATCTGCATGCATCTCAGTTTTAGCCAACATTCTTACCTGCACTCAATAGTACATCCTGGAGCAGACTCTCAAGGTTGGCCAACGACCTGCCACCATGTTGTGCGGTTGCACGAACGGCGATCTCACTCCACTCCACCGCCTTCCGTCTCATCTCCCTCGCTGCCTCTCCTAGTCCCATCACTTCTCGTATCCTCTCCTCGACCACCTCCCGGCGCACGTCGTCGCCGACCTCCATCCCGGCACCCCACTCCACGCACACGTAGCGCGAATTGGTTTGCTGCTCCGCGAAGAAGGGCCAACACAGCATTGGCACCCCTGCGCTGAGCCCCTCCATCATCGAGTTCCACCCGCAGTGTGTAAGGAAGGCGCCCACCGCCTCATGATGCAGCACCGCCTCCTGGTCGCACCAGCTCGCCAGGAGGCACCTGCCCTTGGTCGCCTCTTGGAACTCTGGAGGCAGCACAGCGACATCGCCCTTTACGAGGTCATTCCTCACGATCCACAGGAAGTCATAGCCACAGTTGGCCAGCCCCCATGCAAACTCCACGAGCTCTTGGCTGGACATGGTGGTGATGCTACCAAAGTT